TGTTTTTGTAGTGTATCTGTCTTCTGTAGAGATTTTTCATTTATTCTGTATATATTCTTTGGGGGGGCGCCAGCAAAAATATCTCCTAGGGCAGGGGTGCCCACACGTCTTTGGCTGGTGAGCTACTTTCTAAATGACCAGCTCACAGAGGTCTACCAACCAAAAATAAAATCCCAAATTTCAAGGGTTGCTGAATAACACGTTTTATTTATACATGGGATAACCATGGGACAACTAGGCTGCAACAAACGACTAATTTGATAATTGATTAATCTATCGATTAATGAAACGATTAATCGACTATTCGGACTATTACTGTATGCCTTGCACAATTTCTCAAACGCTCTTATTTAGCCATCAACTTTTAGATTTAGCTTGGGGTTGTTTTAGGCATGTGGAAACTAACAATGAATACAATAAAGATGAATACTTGATTCAAAAATACACATTATTAAATTAACTAAACAAATTGTGAACAAAATTAACATTGCTTTTTATTAATTAAATAAATAATATTTCACATCAAAAGAAACATTTTAAAAAATCGTATTAAATAATCTGATGACAGAACTGTAAACAGAACAGCTGAAACTTTAACAAAATAAAGAGTAACTCTGTTACCTCTTATCATTAACCATAATTGAGTTAACTCCGTGTGTTGCTGCTAGCATACATAACACCTGACGTGGAAACGTTACTCGTGGATGGGGCTACAGAGCTGCTAGAAAGACAGTCGAACCCGGTGCATTCCTCCGTCTGAACGTGGTGCACTTTTGCTAAATGTTTAGACAAATTGCTCGTGTTACCGCCCTTACATGCTAAACACTCTTGACAACGAGCATTGTCCACCTCAAGACAGGTAACATTTAACCACACCTTGGAGCGCTTCTCTCCGCCATCCCCGCCGTGTGTTGCTACATGTAGTAGCCGAGTGTGTGTAAACTGCCCCGCCCCCTCGCACACAGACGGGGGAGAGAGAGATCTCGACTGGATTGGAAAGATCGAAAATACACCGACCATAGACGCATTGTTTGTCTTTTTGTTAGAAACGAGTTGGCGACACTAAGACTGCGAGATAATGTTTGTGTAGCAATAATACATGACCTTTCTCTTTCTCAACTCGCTACTCGGAGGGAAGTCGCTGTCATATGCCTTGTGAACACTCCGATAATGCCTCTCCACGTTACCTTTCTTTGGAAGAGCGACGCTTGCTTTACAAATAAGGCAAATAACCTTTGAATGTGACATCACAAACAAATATTCTTCCTCCCATTCTGGGTCGAAATGGTACGTCTTTAGCTTTTTGCTCGGTCCCACACTCATTTTGTTGTTTGTCTCTTGTTTGTCTTTTTAACTTAATTTGAGTTTTCCCGGCACTTGACTGATTTTGTATCGCTTTGCATTCTGGGTTAACAGACTGGAAAGCGATAGGTCGCTTTTTCTGTCAATCAAGTAAACTCCTGAATTAAGTGGCAGGGAGGCCAAGGGAGGAGGGATCAATACCTGTTTTGTCTATTTTAACGGAGCTGGATTTTTTTTTTTTATGAATGACTCCTGATCTACCAGCATTGCCCCCGCGGTCGACGTACTGGGCACCTCTGGTTTACATGCATAAAAACCTTCATAACACACAAGGGGACGGGCAATAAACGGAAAAGCACGACATGGGACCTTTAAGTCTAATACATTTGTTTGAATATGCTCCCTAGTATTCAAGATAAGAGACATCACCCTGTCCATCGAGCCTGCTCCCGATGTGACTCGGGACACCAATGTGACTCTGAGATGCCAGGCCATCGTCAGCAGCTCTGGGCCGGAGGCGCTGAGTCGTGAGTACAGAATATACAAGGACGGCAACACCATCTACTCCAAGAACACAAGCACCTCAGAGGATCTCCTTTACCCTTTGTCCGAGGCCCGAGTATCCAACTCCGGAAAATACAAGTGCAAGATCAGCATTGAGCAGGAAGACATGACGAGTGGAGCCGAGAAACTCACAGTAGCAGGTCGGTTTGATAATGTGGATACAGTATTATTTGTGGTTGTTTGAGAAGTTCAGGTGAATTTGATGGTGTTAGAATAGTTTTTTAAATGTGGTTAAATTAATCGCTTGCCGGCAGCATTCTCCTAAAAAAACAGTGAGCTAGGCATGATTAGCATTTTTTTTAAGCCATATATTGTAACTGGAACAGGAATCGAAATCCCCTGCTTGGAAGTTCAAACCGTTTTTTCAAAATTAAAGTCTTAGTGTTTATGTGCAACAGCAAGTCGGATACATTCTTTAACATTGGTAGACGATGGTCTAATTTTGTTTACTTTTTTGAACCACTGTTGGATTAAAACTGCAAATCTTCCCCCATTTTGGGTCTCCAGGCCTGTCAAAACCACTTGTCCACATTAACAAGGGTGTGGTCAGTGAAGGGGAGGAGGTAACAGCCACATGCACAGCGCCCGGCGAGACAGGATCCTTTTTTTTTTACTTCTACGAAGACTCTAAAGAGATCCAGGAGAAGCAGGTAAACGTCAACCAGGTGGAGGCCAGGCTTCACTTCAGCAGCACTGGCAACCACACAATTCACTGTGGCTATACTGTCCTTGTAACGCCAGAGTCCTTCAAGTCAAAAGAAAGCCTTTCTGTCACTGTTTCAGTCAATGGTGAGAAGCATCTTTACATTTCTGTTCTTTTCAAAGCATTGTACGGTGGCCCTGAAGTGCAAGTCAAAACAACATTTCACAAAACTCCACAGCATTTCAGAAAACACTACAGCATTTCACAAAACGCTTCAGCATTTCAGAAAAACACTACAGCATTTCACAAAACGCTTCAGCATTTCAGAAAAACACTACAGCATTTCACAAAACGCTTCAGCATTTCACAAAACACTTCAGCATTTCACAAAACACTACAGCATTTCGCAAAACGCTTCAGCATTTCACAAAACACTTCAACATTTCAACTTTTACGGAAAGGGTATTCCTTTAGGGAGAACACTTCTTGTTTGTTATTGGACAGAGCCAGCCAGAGAAGCACTGCTGTGATTGGTTGTTTTTGCTGCCAGTCAAGAAATGAGGCTTTGTGATTGGTCAGCACCCGACAGCGCTACATGTCCCAACACATCAGCCGTTAGTTGTTAGCACACAGAGCTCACAGCTCCTCATATCTGTTCAGAAACTGGACAAAAGTTAAACATGTAGCGTTTTGTGAAATGCTGTAGCGTTTTCTGAAATGCTGTAGTGTTTTCTGAAATGCTGTAGCGTTTTGTGAAATGCTGAAGTGTTTTCTGAAATGC